GAGGTCTATGTATAATTTATCATCATTTGTGTAAAAGAGCCCATGCACACGTGTTTAGGCACAGAATCGGTTTCAAAGTATGCAGTAAACTGGGGGCAGTGCCTGCCTCCAGGAGGAGGAGCTAGGAGCTAGAGGTTAGAGAGGCCCTTCATTTTAAATCACTCTTGTATCTTGACCCACGGGAAAAAGTGATGTATTCAACATTTTTGTTTCATTTTTTAAAAATGGGCTAATTATACATTTGACAAATTCCAATAATTTCTGAATGCAGCAAAAAAACCCCAAAAAGTTTTCTTGTGAGAATCACTATTAAGTTATAATGTAAATATATCTTTTAAGGTGAAAAGGCATAACATTTCCTTCATAGGCAACTTGTCATTTGTCCATCACGTAAAGTCAAATGCACCTATACTTAAAATAAGTATGACTCTTTTGAGGAAGAAGAGCCAGATCAAATACAACTTTAAGGAAAAACATGCGTACTAGACTATGAAGTTTACTGAGGACAAAGGCCATTATTTTACATATTTTTTAATTCCCCAGTTCCTGATGGAGTTCTCAGAATATAGTTTCTCAGTTGATGACTAGCAAATTGATTTACTGGTTAAATTAGCAACTAGACAGTTATATATGTCAGTTATACTGAGAACAGTATAAAATAAATGGATAATTCACCAGAAACTGGCTTCTGATTTAATTTTAATGACCTTGAAACAACATAATTTAGTACCAAATACTTAAACACCCATTATAATTAACCTGTGAAATCAGCACTATTTATATCTGATCAGCTATACAAAACTCATCGATTTTTCTTTTGAAAAAGGCAGTAGAAATCCCAAAGAATAAGGGAGAGACTACTAATTAAAGCTCACGTTTACTAATCTAGCACCATAATTCCAGTCTTAGGACCTCCCAGGCAGCTGGAAGGAGGAAGGGAGGAAGTGAGGATGCTGGAAAAGTAAGGACAGTTCTTAACTTGTGGCCCCATTTCCATTTGTGCTCGAAGCAACACAAGGTCTGGCAAAGGCTGAGACTGGAGATAAGACTGAAGCTTTGGTTCTGCTGTAACGGAGGCCCTGGAGAAGAGCAGAGTCAGGATTTCCTGGAGGCAGTGCTGGAGTTGGCCTCATGAACTAGGGGGTTTCTTCTTGGCATCCAAGTCCTTTTTAATGTCTTCAAATTTTTTAACCAGGTTTGGTATCTTTAAAAAGAAAAGAGATTATTATAATTTTGCATCTAACTAATTAATATTCTTTGACTTTTCTTCCTCCAAAGATAAATGGTGGTTGTGAGAGTTTTTATTTTCCTCTGAAAGAGACCTGCTA